CCATGCGTGGGTCTTGCAGTAGCCCAAGTTGACGGCCAAGCCTGGCCATCAAAATAGGGATCTACTAGGACCTAGGGTAGGCCCTTACTCCCTTTTCAAGGGTTCAGGTCCCTTATAAGCCCCTTTAAACCAAAAAGGGCACCCTTTTTATTCCTGGGTTACTCTTGGGTTTAGTCTATAAGGGTTGCTATAAGGGGTAGCATGGGGGTAGAGTGGTATGGTATAGGGGTCTTAAGACTTGCCTACAGTATACCCCTGGGCATCAAAAACAGCCCAAGAGCCTTATGTAGTAGGGTCTTTGGGCCCAAAAGCTTGAATATATGAGTCCTTAGAGCCCTGGGGCAAAAAGCATCAATCCAACCTAAGCCTCGGAGCCCAAAACCTTCAGAGCTCTTCGAAAACGTCAACAACTAGCATGCAGACGAGTGATTTGGGATTTCCCAGGGAATGCAGGTACTAACTTTTGACGAACACTGGCCATGATAGATGAAGCAGACGTCTCACACTCACCTTGAGATCCCAAACCCCTTGAATGAGGGAATATGCCTTAAACCAGAATATATTAAGCCCCCTACAGTTTAAGAAGTATAAGTATAAGGTATATTCCTTAATTAAGGGGGTCTTGGGATTCCGGTGCACTCTCACCGGCCTTGCCAGGCGGCAGGTGTGTGGGCCCTGGCGTTGTCTCTGCTGCTCCGCATGGGGCTTTGCCGGTGCACACCTGATGACATCAGCAGCTCGACCAAGTAGGAGTCTCCGAAAGTTAAGGGATACCTTATTTTGGGAGCCCTATTATAAAGATCCTACAATTTAGGGTGCTATGTTAAGGTCCCCTATGTTCGGAACTCCCAAGCGTGCTTCGGGTAAGAGTCCTTGCCTTGAGCTCTGAACCCTACTTAAACCAGGCATGTGAGCAAGCCGGCTTAGGGTTTCGGGTTTAGGGTTTAGGTTAGAAGGGGCCCCCACCCTATAATAGTGGTATAATAGGAATAGAATAGGGCCCTAATATAATCCTTATAGTCACTATTACAGGGTGGGGGCAGCTTCTATTAGGGGCCAAAATTCAATGTTTTTTGCGTTTCTCTGCCACTTCTAGCGAGAGCCCTTTGGTGCAACGGGAAGATGACTAAGTCAAGACACGGTAGGGTTGGAACAAATACTAATACTCTCCTTAGTAGGGTTCCTTATTATAAGTATACCCCCTGAATTAGGTGTCATCGTCCTTTTCCTGGACTTCCTGTCGTTGCCTTTTTCCTGGATTGACCTCTTGGGTAATGATATACGAGATATGCTCTTCACTCAATCACGAGGTATTGCGAGGGTTTGGAGTGGTGTGCTCACTAAACCCTAAACCCCTAAAGGCCGCAAACGCCTAAACCCCTAAAGGCCACCTAAACCCGTGAAACTGCCAGCGTCTTCATCCTTCAAGGCTACAACAGTGCTTTGCCGGCGTGCGGTCGTGCTGGGCGCTGGCAGTCAACGCTGAGGTGCTTTTGAGATTCCGCCCGCAGAGTATAAGAGTCTATGATCGATGTTGTAAAGAATCAGGTTCAAAAAAAAAGCAAATAGGTTCACGATTGTGTGTGTGTGTGAATATGTGTAAATATAAATGCGCACATACACGTACATGATTATTCATATTCAGCATGCATACAAATATGCACATTGGTTCATCTCCGAGCTGCTGTGTGTTACGTCTACTGTGTGTATGTCTGCTTGCCTTTTATGTGGAGTGCTGGGTGATGCCAGGCAATGTAAACGTAGATATGGGAGTTTCCGAAAATAGGGGATCCTGATATAGTACCCAAATAGTAGGATCCCCCCAAAAAAGAAGCTACCCCCTAATTTTGAGAAACTCCCAGTAGGTTGGGGAGCCGGATGACCCTGAACCCTAAACCTCCCGGGTCCTCTTGGGTCACACTTGGAGGGTCGGGGGACTTACTAAGTTGTTATTTTGTAGAGTTATAAGTACCATAACCCCAATCAGGATCCCTTTTAGGGTACTTGTAAGTCTACTTACTACCCAGTTACTAAGTCCCCCAACCCTCCAAGCACCGTGCTTGGTGTGGAAGGCTGATGCAGGCAGTTTGGCTGGCCCGCCTGACCGCGAGCAAGCTAAGCTGCCTGGCTGTCGCTTATATAATAATGCTTAATAAATAATTTAGACTGGGAGTAATCAGTGGTATGTATGAGTTGGTCATTTGTAGTTGCCACCCCATTTTTGCAAGTATTTCGGTTCGCCCAGTAGGATTGTGGTACATTACTTGTTTTTTCTTCTTCAGTTTCTTGTTGCAGTCTTTGTTCTCGTTATAGTTAGTCTTGCTTCTGCTGCGCTCCTGGTTGGGCTTATGGGAGTGGTGGTGTTGTTGTGGTGGCGGTGGTGGCGGTGGTGGTGGCGAGGGCGACTGGGACTTAGCCTCAATATTGCAACGAGTGGTGCCGGCAGTGGTAGTCGTGCTGTTGATGCTGGTGGTGGTTGTAGGCGATTCTTGCGCTTGTAGTTGCGATTCACCGGTGTTGTTTCAGCTGTCGTGGTTGTTGGCATTGACATTGCCTTTCCTGCTGCTGCTGCTGCTGCTGCTGCTGCTGCTGCTGCTGCGCCGACAGTCGTCGTGGTCAACATCATCTTGTTGTTTCTTCACCGCTGTCATCTTATGATTGCGATGCAAGTGCTACCCTTGCCCGATAGCAGCAGTGAGGCTACAATAGCGCTGTGACTTCCTGGGAGCAGCGCGGAGCCAGTCGCCAGGTTATCGACTTGCTTTAGGAAGGGGAGTGGGGTTTTAAGCCCCTTGGAGCGCTTGACAGTGAGGGTCAGGGCGAAGGGCTCAGGGCCGTTCCGCTTAAGTAGGGTGTAGGCTTTAGGGGTTGTGGCTTTATGGCTGATGTTTGCTTGACTGCTGTTCACAGTTCTTCTCGAAGGCGGCCTGTTTTGCAGTGCTTATGATGATGTGCAAGCAGCCAAGAAAGGATTTAGGGTCGTGGGTCTATGATTTAGGGTTCAAGCTTTCAGGAGTTAGATTTCAGGAAGTTCGGCTTTAGGGTCTTCGAGTTCTGGGGTGTCGAGAAGTCTAGGGTTACATGGCACTGAAGTGGTGGAGTTGTTGCCTCGCAAGAGCATGTGGAGTCATCATTTGCTAGTTGAAGGCAGTGCGAAAAACTCAGACAGACGCTTCCTCCCAGCACCGTAAACCCTAACCCCTGAACCCCTAACCCTAAGATAGGGTTCAACCCTACACCCTACACCTGAGGACCTCCAGATGCCGTCGCAATAAGGGCCTGAAGTAGTAGTATGTCTATTGAAGGACTGAGGCTTTCAAGCAGGGACTCCCAATTCGAGGAACCGCAAACCCTAGACCCTAAACCTACAATATGACCCCTTAATTAGAGGGTCTCACCCTTAAAAAAAAGTAGGGTTTTTGGATCTCCAGGTAGACCCTAAACCTATGCCCTGCACCCCACATCATTAAATCCTAAACCCTACACCCAAGTCCTCCCTGCAGCCTAGCGCTTGCTCCGAGCCTCGCATGGCCGTTGTTCTGAGTTTGCGTTTCAGCCGGCACCTTCAGTCAGACCTAAGCATCCTGCAGCCCGAGATACTTAGGGTTTGGGGTTTAGGGTTGAGTTGCTTAAGACTCTCCAGAATATCGCGATTGACGTATTATAATACTCAGACTTGCAATGCAAAGGGCCGTGTAGAGTCATACATAGTAGCCATCTGCCCTTAACCCTCACCTGTGACACGAAGCCCTCAAGGATTGAACACCAAGCACTACATTGTCAGAATGCTTCGGGACCGGACATGTAAGGTGGGGGCAAACTCCCTCCGAAGATCCCCATGCTCGCCACCTGACCACATCCTGAGTATTGAAAGCACCCCATCCTCCAGCCCAGAACTACTCATCTTAGGGGTACTTAGAAACAATTTTTAACTTTTGGTTGTTATAACCCCTAAGAAACAACTAAAATTTAATTTTTATCTAGGGTTCTAAGTTCAGCATACTTATACCATAGTGTACCCCTCTACTTCGACTGTTTGGGCACCGTTATGGCCCACGTCCTCTAGATCAAGGCTCCACGTGCTGGCAGCCGGCGCGCACCCATCGCAGCCACATTTTGCCGAGAAGTTGGAAAAATGCGGCGTGCTGTGGTCGATCTAATGAGACTGCCTTAGGCTTCGGGGTTTAGGGTGTGACTGTGCTGCTCGGGTCCCATGTCTCCAAAGCCATGCGCTTGTGAATATATAAAGGGAACTCCAGAAAGTTGGAATATGGATTAATGGTAGGATCCCCTATAATTTACCTTAAAGGGGTTACGATAATGATATTCCAACTTTCTGGCTTCTACTGTAGTAGCAAGATTCAGCATCGAAGCCAGCCCTAAACTCCGAAGCCTGGAATCTTAAGCCCCAAACCCTAAATTCTGAGCCAACACCCCCCGGGCGCAGGCGGATGCAGTAGGATCATGTGGTCTCCTGTGCAAGAATGGTTATCATCCCTCAGCTTGGAACACTGCCTGCTTGCACCTTAAAACATGATCTCAGTCTTCTGACGGCCTAGACCCTAAACCCTAAACCCTAGAGTTCACTGTTCGACAACAGGTGGTGGGGGGCTTCCGGGGGTTGAGGCGTGCGCAGTTCAGGATGTATCGGAGTTTAGTGGTTCTTTTGTTTTGATGTTTGGACATTAGGGACGAGGCTTCATCCTCAGCTCCGAGCCGTTACTCAGAAGCCTCTAGCAGTACAGTACCCCTTAATCCTTCACTCTGAACTCCGAAACCCTAGACCGTACTTCTGCCCCTCCGCTTTTGAACGTTGGTAGGCTTAGGTAGCCTGCCCAAAGCCCTAAACCCTAAACCCGAAATCCAAACCTTAAACCCTAAACCCCTAAACCTCTAAATCCTAATCCCTAAACCCGAAATCCTATACCCTAAACCCTAAACCCTAAAAACCCTAAAAGCCCTAAGGCTTAAGGCAGCTTTGCGTACTTGTCGAAAGCCAGGCGAAGGCGACTTCACCGTGGAGGTGGGGGCTTGATCCCGAATTCCACGGGGGTTTTATTTTAGGTGGTTTGGGGTTTGGGTTTAGAGGATTGGGGTTTAGGGTTTTGGGTTTATGGTTTAGGGTTTCTACGATGTAGGGCTTAGGGTTTTAGGTTTTAGAGTGTAGGGCCGTGTAGGGTTTGGGTTTAGGGTTTCGGGTTTGGGGTTTAGGTTTAGGGGGTTCGGGCTTGAGGGTTTAGGATATGGGCAACTTATCCTGAACCCTACGTGACAGGCCCACATCCAAAAACCTCAAAACACCACGGGCCAGCATCCTCAACCGAAAACCCCCAGAACGTAAACCCGGAAAGCCCCTTAGCACCCAAAATAATGATGTGATGGTCTACCCGCATTATGTTTGCACATTTCTAGTGCTATTACGCAGAGGTTGCAAGGTGGAGGGTTCACGGCTTCGAGTGTTTATGCTGTAGGTTTCGAGTTTTTTGTGTTTTCTAGCCCAGATATCAGAATCTAGGCTAGGGCTCAGGCCAGTTATCAGGGTTGTGGGGAACCTGGCTGAGCACTTTGATTCCGAGAGCTTTTCGGCACCACATCAACGAAGGGTTTTGTTTCATGTCCCAAGGTTTAGAGTTTGGGGCTTGCATTTTACGGTTTCGGTCAAGAGCATGACAGCATTTCTCTCTCACTCTCTCTCTCCCCGCTGCTCTCCCTATCCTTTTTTTGTTTATCTCTTTCTCTCTTCTTCGCTCCCTCTCTTCCTGTATTTGCTTATGCCGTGTAAAGTTTAGTTGTAGATGTAGACAAGGAGACAGATACTTGTATGAACGGACAGCCACCCAGGTAGAGATTGTACTGTCGGTGTTTCGCGTGCATAGAAACATACTTAGATACGTTTTTGATATACATATACATACATGCAGACATACATCCACACACACACACACACATGAAGACATCCACACAAACTCGTTCAGACCACTTCTATCATCAACAAAGTCGCTGTTAATGTAGCTGCCACGCAGGCGCCACAAAACTGAAACAGTCGAAAGCTTCGGCTCAGCCGCATTGAAAGAGCCCTCAACCCTGAACCCGAAACCAAGACAAAGCCCAACCCGCGTTGATGAATACACCCCAAACAGACCCTCAGTAGATAAACCCGCCGTAAATCAGCCTTTGACCGAGAAACGAATGCGAAACACACCGCAGAGTTCCCGTACTAGAGATAGACCAATAAATGTGACCATAATAACGGTAACAATAGCACTAGTGACAATAGTAATGAGAACAAGAATCGAAAATAGTCACAAGAATAAGTGATCGGGTTGAGTTCGAAAGCAATTTTAGTGGATGCATGGGGGTGGCGTATGGGTTAGAGGGGTTTAGGGTTTAAGGTAGAGGGTTAAGGGTTTAGGCAGGGGTCTACCGTAGAGGTCAATATAGTTGTGTTTGTTTTACTTCCTTGAAGAGGTCGATATAGGTCTTATTCCAATTGTCGCATATTGCTCCTTGCATTTCGCAGGGCCTTTTCTGGCCGGGTTCAGACGTTAAGTAAGGGCTTAGGGTCTTCGGGATTTGAATGCATTTGGGGTGTCATGGTTTGGGCTTCGAGCCTTAGATGGTTCTGGTTTTAGGGTTTCGTTGAGCATTCATTACATGTTTCGCTGGAATTCAGATCACCGGATCCGACACTTCCCTGCCAGGCAGATCGGCCCAAAGTGAAAGCTCTGACTGACGAGCTTTTGCAGCTTGTCGGACACGATAGTGTTGACAGTTGAGAGTCATGAGATACGATGCATTGCGCAGAAGGTTACATACTTGAGTGTGAAAGAATCTGCTCGTCGAATATTGCAGTTGGCCTCTCAGTACACGCTAGCATATCCGTCTTACACCGCAATATCTCTACGCTGGGATCGATCATAGAGGTTCTGTGATGTACAGTGATCGGGCTTACGTACATGACGGTGGTGTGTCATCAAGGTACAAGCTGTGAGTGGTCGTGCAATGTTGTAGTGTGACAGAATACGAACTGCCAGTAGAAAGATTAACACGCCGTCATGTCATGCAAGAGTCTGGGGTCATCAGGGTGAGTCCAAAGAGCTTCCTTTTTCGTTCCTTGTCAAGCGGACCGAAGGTATAGACAGCTTGTATTTTGGCACTGCTGGCTGTGTGCTTTGGGATGTCTTGGGATGTGGCTCTGAATCATCCGCTGGTTGCTGTTCTTCAAAGTTTCGTGCTTTGGCAGTGAACCAGTTTGCTCCAAGCCAAATGTATTTCACGCTCACACACGAGTGCACGTGCGTGTGTCCGTGTGTGCATGTGTGTGTGTGTGTGTGTATGTGCACGTGTGTGTGTGTGCGCGCGCTTGTGTCCGAACAGCTTCTTCCCTGCATCTATTTACCTGTTGTCTGTCTATCTGTCCGTCTGTCTGTTTGTCTGTCCGTCTGTACGTATGTAGTTCTGCGTGCCTGCATGTAGCAATCACGGTGTATCTACATGTGTATGTATGTATGTATGTATGTATACATAACCTTCCGAGGCTACGGACACGTATAGTGAACCCCAGAAAGCTGGAACATGATTGAGGATGATTGGTGCGGGGATTGCTTGTATTGAGCCCTAAGGGCATGAGGATAATGCTGTTCCAACTTTCTGGCGCTGACCTTGTGGCAAAGTGCGATGCAACTGTAGTAAAACGAGTTTTCAGTGAGGTTGAAACACCACAGCGCGCAATGGCTTGATGCTGTGTGAGACCATAGTGCAGTGTGCTTTGCAGGCTATATGTCCATGCAACATATCGTGAAATTAGGTATGAAGCGCAATGCGAGGCAAAATCTCAACAATACAAGGTAATGGGGTCAACGAAGCGCATAGTGCAAGTCCTCGGAAGCGACGTCAGCCTGGCTGAGGAAGCTAAAATGCCACTCTCTGTGGCTTCGTCGTCCCTTGGCCTGAAGTTGCAGAAAATTCAGGAGAGGGTATGAAGGTTAACAAGGCGAATGTCATCTTCGTTTTGCGTTTCTATACCCCGAACCCCAGACTCGTCTGCTTCCTTTGGGGACCCCCCTTGCACGTCCATGCGCGGAATCGAGGGTCAGCTTGCGAAAGCTTGGGTACCATGTGTAACTTTACGGGACACGCACGAGATGCGCGAGCATCTCGAGTTCTAAACCCAGAGGCCCGCAGGAGTGGCGAAGTGTTGTGTATCCAAGCAGGTACCCCAGTGCAAAGGCTCCGGTAGAGGAAAGAGATCCCCCCCACCAACCCCGAGACCAAAGCATCGTCCGCAGTTCAGGGTATAGTCCGGATACCATAATCTACGACTCAACGACCCGAAGTCGTCGCAACTGCCCACCTCCACGACTACGACCACGACCACTGAGCACGACCAAGACCACGATCATGACCAGGACCTACTGCGATGACCACCACCACCACCACCACCACGCCTGCGACCACGGCCCACTACCACTCTACCACTGTACCAGACTGCGATGCTACCACTCAACCACTACCACCTCCACTGCCTCGACGAGTTCTCGTGGCATTGGTAGCAATAGTAGAAGTGGTCATCATAATTGGTATTACCAGTCATATTTCTACTGCTACTACTACTACTACTACTACTACTATCATTATTATTGTTATTCTTCCTAGTAGTAGTAAGTAGCAGCAGAAGCACTACTCATTCGGCTTCCCGAGCTCAGCAGGTGAAATGCTGAACTGGCGTTTCTACCAGCCTCCTGTCCGAGCACGAAGCAACGATTGGTTAAGAGTTTATACCAGGACCCCCAAATGGCCTTTATTGGAGCCCGTATGGTTCTTAATAGTGGGTTTTTAACGTATATTTGAGGGTAGTTGGGGGGGGGGGGAGGGGCTAACTGGAAATCTGGGTTTGGTGCTTTTGGTTCAGGGTTTAGGTTCAGGGAGTAGGGTTTGGTGTTGAGGATTTTGGGGTCTTCAGTTTCTGTGTTGGGGTCTAGGATCTTGGAGTTGGGGATTTGTGCTTGTCGCCTCTGGCGGCGGTATCTTCCAAGTTATAGTTGTTCAGGTCACGCAAAGTTGACGTTTCGCTTATGTAAGTAGGTATGTATGTATGTATGTATAAATATATGTATGCTTTATGCATAAATATGTGTTGTCTGTTCACATGAAGCCGACAGTTTTCTAGCCTTAACATAATCCACAACAGCCCATCACCAGTTTCGTTGTTATGGCTGGGCACCCGTCCCAAAACTAGATAGTTATGGCGCCCTCCTCTTACACCGACCCCAGCCCTAAACCCTGACCCCAAATAACCTACGTTTCTCAGGACTTAAAAAAGGAAATCGTAAAAAGGGCCCTACGAAGGTAGGTGTTCGGGGTCAGAGTACCCTGATCCCTAAACCTCAGGGCTTCTTCCGCGCCGCAGCAACCGCATTGGGGATAACAAGAGCCCAGCACGATTCACGGGTAGGGAAGTTCCCATAGAGGGCTGCTTTGTCCGGAGGCCTAGGGCTGAGAGTTCGATTGGAGTTGGAGTTCAGGCTTTACGGTTGGGGTTCAGGTTTCCGGGCTCAGGGTTAAGGGGGAGTGCTTTGCGGGTTTGGGGTTGTGGGGCTCAGGGCGTGAGATCTGATTAAGGTTTCGGGTGGGTTTAGTGGAATTTGGGAGTTAGGCACGAGACTTTGCTTCATGAATCTCTTCGGATCGCACATGTCCAGCGGGTTTAGGTTTTAGGGTTTCCAACAATTTGTAAATCTTACACCCAAAACACATCCCAAGCCAAGAGCCAAACACCGAAGAGTGGAATGTATCCTTCCCTACACCCTAAACCCCTAATTAAACCCTAAACCCAGAGATAAACCCTGAACCCTAAACCCCTAAGCCCTAAACCCTAAGCCCCTAAACCCCTAAGCCCCTAAACCCATAAACCCTAAACCCCTAAACCCCTGAACCCCTAAGCCCCTAACCCCTGAACCCTAAGCCCCTAAACCCTAAACCCTAAACCCCTGAACCCTTAAAAACCCTAAAGGCACCTTAAAGCCCCAAACCCTAAACCCTAAACCCTAAACCCCTGAACCCTTTTTTCATAAAGGCACCTTAAACCCCAAAGCCCCAAAACCCGACGTCTGTGCCGAGGTCGCTCTTTCCCAGGGGCCAGGGCCATCCTCAGAAGGCCGAGGAGGAGACGGTTTAGGATTTAGGGGTTTAGGGGTTTAGGGGTTTGGGGGTTTGGGGGTTTAGCGGTTAAGGAGTTTAGGGATTTAAGGGTTTAGGGGTTTAGGGTTTTAGGGGTTTAGGGGTTTAGGGGTTTAGGATTTAGGGGTTTAGGGGTTTGGGGGTTTGGGGGTTTAGGGGTTTAGGGGTTTAGGATTTAGGGGTTTAGGGGTTGGGGGTTTGGGGGTTTAGGGGTTTAGGGGTTTAGGGACTCAGTAGTAGTTGAATAATATTCATAATATAGATATATTAGTACCTTATAATAGTAGCGCTATTATAGACTCTTACTGTATGGGGGCAGTACCTAAGGACGGTTTTTGGGTTCAGCGTTTCTATGTTTTAGGGCTTAGGTTAGGGTTTCGAGTTTGGGGTTTAGGGTTTATTGAGGGTTTTGGGTTCAGGATTTCTTTTTAGGGCTTAGGTTTAGGGTTCAGGGTTTTTGTGTGTGTGTGTGTGTGTGTGTAGCATAATGATACTAATACCAATGGGCATAGTAGTAGTATGAACAATAACAAACAAGACTAAGAGAGGGTTTAGTTTTTTGTTGTTTTAGAGTTTAGGGTTTCGAAGGTCTTAGGTTTTTGTGTTTTGGGGGGTTTAGGGTTTCCTAGATCTGCCTGGAGATATTCCATGCTTCTGTGGCAGCAACAATGTAGGTCGCAGGCTGTTTACAATCACCATGCAAAGCAAGTGGGGCAGGTAACTCATCCATTTCCACAGTTTCCATTGCGTTACACCTATATAATCATCATCTGCTGCTGCTACTGCTGCCTCACACAGATAGACTGATGCCTGAAACATTTTCGTACGTTTGCGGTTCTCTGGCGCTTATACATATACGATAGTCAAAATCTCGCCATGTCAAACGACGGCTATTTGTTGCTCGCAGTCTGTGCAGGCGGTTTTTTCAACCGAGCCTCGCTCCAAAACTGGCATGTCGTGGTGAAGTTATCCACTGTCAAGAGACCCAGGCACCTCAAAGTTACCGATGACGGCTGAGCATGAGGTAGATGACGCTAACCCTGCAGTCCTAAATAACTTAGTGCGATACACGCGCCGCAGGCTTCTGCGCTTGGTTGGTTTAAAGCTTTCATGGGGCAACAAGATTGTTGATGTTTCTTGGGTCCACGGCTCGGGCACCCTGGTGGTGGATGTATGTTCCGGAACAGGGGGGTTTTAATACTCCGTTTCCGATGGGACTTTGGAGGTGTAAGGCCCAGCAAGACGTCGCGCATGCATTCTGAACCAAACTGGTCATGCGAGGGTAAGGTTTTTCCCGCAAGCTGCATGAACGCGTCTTGGATCCAATGGTTCTGCTTGTTCCCATGAATCTTCTGATTTCGCTGGATATTCTCATCACAGGCGCATCGGCTGTTGCTATGTCCTTATTCTGTTGTCATGATCTAACATCTTGTCCCCCTCGGGACCCCAGTCAAGCCGAAGGACATCGACACCTTCCTCCAGCGCTACAACTTCACATCGGAGCACCAACATTTAGCTTCTTTGGCTGTGAACAGAAGCTTTATAAGGTCCTGTGCCACAGCAACAGTTTTGAAGGAAAGTGCAATGGGAGTCGTAGCAGTCGGAGTACTCGCAGTAGTCTTAGTAGCCGTAGTCGTAGCAGTAGTCGTCGTCGTGGTAGTCGTAGTAGTAGTAGTAGTAGTAGTAGTAGCAGTAGCAGTAGCAGTAGTAGTAGTAGTAGTAGTAGTAGTAGTAGTAGTAGTAGTAGTAGTAGTTGTAGTAGTAGTAGTAGTAGTAGTAGTAGTAGTAGTAGTAGTAGTAGCAGTAGTAGTAGTAGTTGTACAAGTAGTAGTACAAGTAGTAGTACTAGTACTAGTAGCAGTAGTAGTAGTAGTAGCAGCAGCAGTAGTCGTAGTAGGAGTAGTCGCAGTAGCCGTCTGGAAGACCCAGTGAGCTGGCCTCTCTCCCTTTCCGACGAAGCAGAGCCCAACATGTAGCTGCATTGTAGCTGAATGAGTCAAACTTATCAGCTATCCTTGTCCTGCCGCGCTTCAATCGAGGATCTCAGGTACTCAGTTTGTTGCACTGTAGCTGATTCTAAGCCTCTCGTTCGAGTGCTGAAATCAGGCTCTGAAGCAACTAAGTAGTGGTTTTTCCTCTGAAGTTACTCCGGCTGTTGCGTGAGCCGAGATCAGTGAAGCGTCTGCCTAGTCTCGCCTAAAGATGAAACCTCTACCTACGTGCAAGCTCCCACACCCAAATCAAGCACTAAACCGTTGCACTCCGAGCCTGTATCCTAAACCCTAATATACGGGCCTTAACAATTGCCTATACCATTTTCGGGGTTCCTTTTTGTAATATTGTAGTATAATGGGGCCCAAAACTCTATTCTAGTTATTAAGGCTTCTATATCATAGAACCCAACCGCAGATCCCTTATAGAACCCTTTATGAGAGTCCTGTTCTAATCATTCAGGCCCGTACATTCGACACCTGAACCCGAATCCTTGGAGCCCCACTGGGGCCTTTCGGTTAATCTAGGGGCCTAAACAACTGCCAATACGATTCTTAGGGCTCCTTGCTAAAACTATAGTAGAATGGGCACCAAAACCACCAAAAAAACTATATGGGCCTTAATAATTATGACCTATACTATTATAGCTATAGTATAATGGGCCCCAGAACCCCATTGTAATTATGAAGGCCCCTGTATTATAGTACCCTTGTAGTAGCCCATATAGACCCCTTAAAAGGAACCCTATCCTGAGTATTAAAGCCCCTGTATTAATCATGGGCCGAATCACCAGCCAAGGAGCAGGGAGGACTCAGTCCACTGATGCTGGCAAGTGGGGACTCCCGGGAGTGTGGTGATCGCGGGCTTGCATGGTGCGGGTGGTTAGGGTTTAGGGTGCAGGGTCTGTAATGTAATGGCTTGAATAGTTAGAATGGGGTTTTTGGGGTTGCCACATTACAAATATGGTACAATGTACCCCCAAACCCTATTCTAACTATTAAGGCACCTACATTCGGGTCTTGGGGTTCACAGCTCAGGGGCTGCAGCAGGCGGCAGGGAAGGGTGTAGGGGACGCTTAGGCAAGGACAGCATTTGTTACCAGCTTTCGGGCTCAGTAGATCTGCGAGGGCTTTGGGTAGTTCCTTTAAAGGGTTCCTTGAAAGGGATCTATAAGGGTTCTATAAAGGGTTCAGGGTTTAGAGTTTCCGAAAGTTAGGGGTACCTTATTTTGGGGGTTCTCTACATTAGGGCCTGCTTCCTGTTTTTTTGGGGTGCCGTACTGTTTTGGCGACCTGCAAAGGGACCCTAGTTTAGAGAACTAGAAAAGTCTAGAGATTACCGCCGGGTGTTGGACAGTGACAGGAACCTGCAAGAAAAGATTCCTTGAACCTGTCATAGCCCAAGTAGGATAGGGTTCCTTTATTAGGGTCTAGAAGGGCTACTACAAGGGTACTATAATACAGGGGCCTTCATAATTACAGTAGGGTTCTGGGGCCCGTCGTACTTAAGGCCTGAGACCTGTGTGTGCCCTGGAGTCGGCAGCCTTGGGCCAAAGCCCTAAACGAATATAGGGGTCCTAAACAATGACCAATATTATCCCTCAGGGTTCCTTATTATTGTAACTATACTGTTTTGGGGTCCCGAATGTTATAAGGCCCCGAAATTACAGAACCCAGGGAATCCCGCCCCTACACCCCAAACTCTAGAGCCAATGGAGAGTAAGCTCAAAGTGCAGAGAACGTATGAACAGTAAATGCTTAACCCCAAACCCTCAACCCTAAACCCTCAAGCCTAAATCCTAGCCCTGAGCCGGCCTTAACCTCAAAAGGCCCAAGCCACACGCCCTGGCCCAAGGTATCGAGGGAAACATCACCATCATCAAGAAGCTGGTGGAGGGCAAGGCACTCCCCCCAAATGTTTCGAGTTTACGGATTACGGCTATTTTTTAAATAGTTTAGGGTTCAGCAGCAGCAGCACCACCACCACCACCACAAACGGCAACGCCAAGCACCAGCACCAACACCAACACCCCCCAACACCAGCACCAGCACCAGCACCAAGCACCAAGCACCAAGCACCAAGCACCAAGCACCAAGCACCAAGCACCAGCACCAGCACCAGCACCAGCACCAACCAACACCAACACCGCCACCAACAGCGCCAACACCATCAGCAATCACATCAACAGCAGTAGCTCAGCAACGACACGAACCACGACCACAGCCTACTCGTCCTAAACTTAACGTAACTTGGACCAGCAGATGGTTTATCCCCAAGCTCCGTGTTTGCAAGGCCGACGTGAACGAACTCATGACGTGGGACATCAAGGAGGGGTGTGGGTCTTGAATGCAGACCCACTCTTGTGGCCACAGCTTCAAAGTGGGGTATCAGAATCTTTCTGCGCGGGAGGAGGGATTTCCAGAAGGCACTATCATAGGCATCCACAGTGTGATCTCTCAAGAAAAGAAGCTACATCGTTTACGGTTTAAGGTGAACCCCAGAACCGAACCTGCAACCGAAACTCTAACCGCTACAACTTAGAAGCAAAAAGCCCAGACGCAAACAAAACCATGGATTTCAAGCCCTCCCCAATTGAAACCTGGCATGCGCGAGGATAAGTCCCGGGGGTAATAAAGAGATTTAACGGCTTCGGGTTCAAGGGCTGAGTTGTGCAAGTGGTTCGAGCCGAGGGTTCGAGTTTAGGGCTGAGGGCTTACAGGATTTAGGGTTTACGGCTGTAGGGATACTCGCCGTGGGGAGACGATGAGGTTCCGTAGTAATTTTCTACATTCAGTGGTAAACGGCTGGCTGAGTTCTGGAACTCAGAACCGGGAGTAGATTCCCTAGAGGACAAGAACATTGCGCCAGTCTCATAAGAGTCCAAACCGATCATATCCGCGAGGTGCAGCACCTCGAAATCAAGCACGGCTGCCATGTACTTTACTTCCCAAAATAGACTTCATGAGACCAAAAACAAGTCCTTGTTAGGGCTATCAAGACCCCTGCCCCCCCTCCCCCTTACCGCCAAAGCTGGAGTCGACATTGCCTCGTGGTCGAAGGATGCGCAGCTCGAGGGCCATCACACAGCATTGTCGTTGGCTGCGGCCCTCTCAACGAGGACCCACTTGGTGGCCAACAGACAGGTAACTACTACCAGGGCCTAAATGATTACCAATACTATTCTGGGGGTATCATTTCGATATCTATAGTATTATGCGCCCAAAACCCCAGTTTCATTATTAAGGCCCCTACATTATACACCATGGTTTGGTGATCGGACGGTTAACAACAGACACGAAACAGAATGATGCCGCTGGCGAGTCTAGGGCGTTTTGCAAGAGACACGACACGGAAGGATGACTGCGACGACTGTCAGTGTAAACAAAACACTACCTGCACTTGCAATTGAGGCAACCATCAACCCGGCACTCTTTGAAACCTCTGGTTTTAAACCTTCAAGCATGGTGACCCGGGCTTAGAACTCAGGTTTTAGAGTTGCACAAGGTTCTGTAAATATAAAGGATTTGTTTGACACCCCCGTGTGCGAACTTTATGACTTCGATGAGCATGTTGATGTTCGTCTCCGCTACGCGCACGCCTCCAGGTTGAGATCTTTGCAACTCCCAAAGGGTCCTAGGTTACTGAAATGGGAGGTTTCTTCCCCAAGTCATAACAGTAGTTCTTCATATAGCATAGAAACCCTACAGTCTGTTTTCTAGGTATATAGTTACTTAGAGCCCTTTCAGGTTGACATGGATCGAAGGGCCCAGAGCCCTGGGGTGTTTTCGGATCGGGTTTTAACGTTATTTGGCCTCTTTTCCTCCCTGCGACTAGATACAACCACTGTTTGCACTATTTAGTGTAGCTCCCTCCATTTGTTAATTCCGCACAGTACCCGTTTCTTCTCTGACTCTGTAGCTCAGCTTGAAAGAAGCCAGACAATCCTTGTTGACCCTGGATCCGCAGCACGCATCGTCACTTTCTAAATCATGTGCTGGTGGGGTGGGCGGAATCTGCGGCCAAGCAGAACAGCGACGGAGGAAGCTTCCAGACCACAGTGCCGGCGTCTGTCGAATGTTTGCTGTCGACGTGCCCAGCACAAAAAGGCAGAGATCCTGGTAATTAGAGCTTTGGAAAGCGGCCGAGACCTCACTCCTCAGGTTTTGGCGTTTCCGAACGGAACGCCAAACACAACTCAGCACGTTGCGGAGATTCAGGTTCCAAGCCTCAGAACAGTCCAAAGCCCGAAACGGTAAAGCCCATCTCCCACACTCCTAAACCCCGAACCTTGAACCTTAAACCCTGAGCGCTGAAATCATAGACCCGAAACCAACTGTCTTTGTTCAGGCCGAAAAAAGAAATATGTGTACACATGCACACGCGCAGGAGCGACAGAGAGACAGAGAGAGAGAGAGAGCTATGCATATGTATTTATGTATGTGTATCTATATATATATATATATAATACACAAGTACCAGTATATCAATGATGAAGCCTCTCCAAGCTTAAGCAGGAGTGCTAGGCACCAAAGGCTCTGGGGAGTTTAGGCGTTGGTTTACGGGTTGAGGAATTATAGGAACGACTTCACACTCTAAACCTTTAACCGGGTTCAGTTTAAAGTTCAGGGTGCAAGCTGGGAGCGCAAATAGTCTGACCCGGAGAGGACCACGGTCTTGACGCTGTTGCAACTGAAAGCGGATCTCCACATTCCTAAAGATCGGCTTGGCAGTCAGATGCTCAGGAATAGGGAGTTTGAGCCTCCTGCTGAGACTTCCAGCCTGTTGCATCCGGGTGAAGAGGAGTTTCTGCCGGTCAGAACATATTAAAGGGGCTTCAATAGTTGCCAATACTGTTAGGGGGTTTCTTATTTTTGGTCGTTGAGTGATGTTTGCTTTTTTCCCCCGTTCAGGACTGTTGTATCGCGTACAGTAGGAATGCATCAAGGACCTTTCAGTTCCGAGGAAGTGGTAAGAAACGGTTGATGATATAAATCCTGCATTACCTTGATGACCCTTTACTATGGGAATTACGGGATCCCTATTATGGGTAAGTCAAATGCAGGATGTCTATCATCAACCGCACTAAGGGACCTTGGAAGTGGGGATGGGGGGGGGGTTCCTATGAACAAGACCTTCCTTCCCCCTTGCGTTTTGTTTTTTGTGCAGAACTCACAGGGTTTACCTCAACCCTGAATGAACTACCTTTTCAGGGCCCCTTGTTATGATTTCCTTATATGAGTCCTGAAAAAGGTAGGTTCTTCGGGGTTAAGGTAGGGTTTAGGGCCTGCTCTGGTGATGCAAGTCCCAAGCCCTGAAGTCCGAGCCTTAAGGCCCCTCAACTCCAAAACCCTAGCCCCCAAACCCCAAACCCTAAACCGTACCCTAAACACTCTAAGCCTTAAACCCAGAATCCAGAAATCCTAAACCCTCCCGATCCCTGAACCTAAACCTTACAAACTCCAAACCCTAAACCCGAACGCCAGAAAGCGGAAGACAACCTCAACCTTACCCTAAGGCGAAATAGGTACTGACATTATTCTTTAGAGTTCCTTCTATTAACAAGATACTATACAAGAGCACAAAACCCTATGTCAATTATTGGAGGCCCCTACATTATAGCCATCCAAAGGACCTGAAGTGAAGCGTTAGGCAACGCCCTCATGACCGCTGCTCGGTTCGGCAACAGCGACGTGCTCCCACTGCTCGTCGGAGGCCATAAGATTCCTGAAATCGAGGGGACAAGCAAGGTTTAGGATTTAGAGTGCACCTGCAAGGTCATACCCGACCTTTTCGTCCATATAACAGATCCTAACCACAAAACGAGTTACCATTCAGAAAGGTGTAGGATATGACTTATGACCCTCTTGAAAGGCGTTAGGGAGGAGGGTTTTGGATGCAACGCCCGAGACCTTAGCCTTAAGCCCCCCTCGAAGTAGGGGCACCGGTTCCAGAAGTCTAAACCTCAGGGTTCCGGGTGGATGGTGTAGGGTTTAGGGTTTAGGGCTTCTAGGGTTTGGGGTTTGGGGTTTAGGGTTTAGGGTATAGGGTTTGGTCTAGGGTTTAGGGTTTAGGGTGCAGGGTATAGGTTTAGGGTTTATTGGGTTTAGGGTTTAGTGGGCCTGATCTGGACGGGTGCCTCATCCATAACTCTCATAACATAGTGCTGAGTGTGGATCGTTTGTTTCATCAAGATAGTGTAACGTGAGCAGTTTGGTATATCAGTCGCTCGAGGATCCAGCGCCTAAATCATGTTCCACAGCTTGTCGTCTGCCAAGCGTTTGTTGTAACTTGGTTGAAATACTTTTGATGCCCGACCAACAGATAAATATTCCCCCTGGTAGAACTCTATAGTACAGTCTACCCCGACGCCCGGAATTAAACACTCACAGTCGCCCTTACACAGAAAATTTTACGGACACCCGTCAACGGAGCGCTTGCAGCAACCCCGTTTCTACTTGTTTAGGCCCTCTACTGCTTCAATGGCTTTCAGAACTGCAATTACCCTCCTCCACCTGTCACACCTCTCAGCCATTCTGTGAAGCCAGGCCCATCTGATCTTGGCCTTCAGAATAACTTCGGCGGTCGCCCCCTCCATGTGGCTTCCATTAGTGAGAATCCCTCGGCAACGAGGCGCGGGGGGCTTGGGTTTGGGCTTGTGCTATGTCGAAGTGGCGAATCCCGAGGTTGGGCGCTTGAAGGAGCTTTTTTTCTCGAAGCGAGGCATATGTAGGTAGGACACCTAAACAGTAACGATGTCTTTGCGCGGCAGGACTCTTCTGCAGCTGCGCTGCGACCCTGACGTTGCGACCAACATCGGCTGCCCCGTCTTTTGGCAGCTCATTCATGCATGTGGGCTCGAAGCAATTAATTAGTCGCAATGTCACCTTGCACTCCCTAGCATAGTTATACTAGACTACACCCGAAGATCCTGTTCTAGTTACAAAGGCTTGATGTTGGATTGGCAGTTTTCTGAACTCGTAAGCCCACGCCTTGGGCGTCCTCCTGCTGATCTTGCTGTTCAGGGTTCATATTCGGGTCCGTCAACCCAGGCCCTAAACCCTAAACCCTGAACCCTTTTCTGAGAGCCCACAGACTGCATTGCCGGACGCAGTCTCGACCTGTTATAAACCCTGAAAGCCTAAACCTTATGAGCCCTGAACCCTGAAACCCTAAACCCTAAACCCAAAACCCTAAGCCAAGCAATGCTCGATCCGACGACACCAGACCGGACTGAAGTCGCTTTGCAGGCATGGTTGCCTTACAAATGCAGACTTGTCTGGGTTTAGAAACAGTACGAACCTCTACACCGTAGCCCCTCCTATAAAGAAATATACATATTCGTTTACATTCCTACATATATGTATAAGTATATACATACATATTATGTATGTATGTATGTGTGTATGTATTTCTGTTTGTATGTATATATGTATGCATGTATGTATGCCCCAGCAGGTGCTATGCTTCAGTCCACAGTATGGCACCAGCCCCGGCCACGCAGAAATCCTGCTGAAGGTGCTTGGGAAGGGGTTTTGGGGTTCGAGGTTCCGAGGTTCAATATTGATTTTTTTCGGTTTGGGGCGCCAGATCCTTTTACTGCGGCTTGGGTTTCCCTACTATCGTTCGAAGCTCTGGGAAAGATCGAGGTGTCTTGCTGGAGGTTGAGGCTGAGGGAGTTTAGTTAGGAAAGGGTCATGTCGAGGTTTGGGATTCGGGAGTTTGGGAATTCGGGTGTAGGGATGTGGGATCGCGGGAGGTTAGGGCTGGGGTTCTGGTAGTTCAAGGGATCGCTTCCCCAGATCGTTTCGATGGACACTCAAGTTCGGAACGTCAAGACAGGAGTGGGACCCTAATATGGTACCCTAGGTAGCAGGATCCTTATTATAAGGACCCCAAAATATGGTACCCCCGATTTTTCCGGAATCTCCCAGATATCCCTGTGTCGAGCCTTCGAGGCCCTATAATGTAGCGGTCCGAAGAATGGCTAATGGGGTCCTTTTACGTCCCTCTTCACTAGCATACTATCCCCCGCAACAATCAGTGCTCCGAAATGATGTGCGCCTTCCATCCGAACAGGCAGCCGTCGTCGACCGTTAACATGAAAGCCTGAAGCATTACGGTCCTTCGGGTCCCTGATTCTGAATACACTATAATATACTGCAGTACCCTATTCTAACTAATGAGGCCCCTACATGATAGTACCCTTTTACATTCCATATCGTTGCCCTTATGGACCCCTTTAAAGGAACTCTATTCTAACTACTAAGGCCCGTACGCCAACCTGTCTTTCGAGAGGCGCGTGCTGATCCGAACATCTCGAGAGCTCCAGTTGGAGCGTCTGCGATCTCGCTGTCGGAGAACTGGACCCGCTGATGGGTTCAGGGTTTATAGGGCTTGGGTTTAGGGTTTCGGGTTTAGGGTCAAGGGTTTGGGTGCGCCCTGTGCATGTATACGTGGCTTTCATATGTCAACTGCAAACACAGCCGGGTACAGTTCGGAGTCCGTGCTCCCACAACAGAGTGAAGCAGAATTCAGATTGGGAACAAATTAGAATACCCGGCGATTTCGATTTAAATGTTGCCAAGCATAGATTGGAGAGAGTCTCGTCCGCCATGGTACCAACCCAAGCCGGGATCAAAAACTAGGACAAGGGCAGAAGGTTTATGACTCTGGTGAGTTAAGAATCTCCCCGGTTCGATTTTCGAATCTGTGATATGTTTTCGACAAATCGCAGCACACCGCTCTCGTACCTTCTCACGAGGTGTCTTCTTTATTCTGGCTTGGCTTGGCTAGCGCATTTTTCAAGTTCTGGGGTTTTTGGAGCCCAAGAGACCATTCGTAAAGTTTAGGACCTTAGGACTTTCCGTCGTGGGTCTAAGTAGGTTATATCACGGGGTATGAGTTACCTGGTCGTGATTCAATGATCCCCACTGGTCCCTCATGCATCAGTCATTTCTTCTCCGTGTAACCCTGAACTTTGCGCCTACTCTGGTGGTGAAGTCATCAGCCTTGAGCCTAAGTTACTATCCCCGAGGTCCCAAACTCCTAAATCTCTTCAACGCCGGCGCCCCGTGAGGATGCGTAAAGTCCGCGAGGGCAAGGCCACACTGGCAGAAATCAACCTGGCACTGTGCCGCTTGACTGAGACAGAGTTTTGGGGTTCAATATGGCTTCAGACTTCACGAGTGTGCTTTAATTTGCCTTAAGACGTGTATGGAGAAGCAAGCAAGCAAGCATGGATTTGCTGTCCTGTGCTGCCGAAAACCTGAGTTCTTGCACGGGCTGAGCAAATGGAGTTCAGGCTTCATGGCTTAAGGTCGCCAGTCCCAGGACATCCAGGTCACCAGGAAGACCCGCACGTCTGCAGTCAACAAAACATATGGGATAGCATCCTGCGGCAGAAGTGAGTCTACAGACAGACACACGGGCAGGGACACCGGAGAGACAGAAAGATGATAAAGCAGACATAGATGTTCATACGAGCTATTGAGTATATGGACGTAGGTATTCAGGATACATGCGCCGCCTTCCGTAATCGTTCGTCACCTTGCACGTGTCAGCAGTAAGGGGACTGGAATCTTTTTTCGAAAATGCATGCTGTACATGTTACCTATGCACTCATGCACGATTGTCTGAATTGTATACACCAGTAGATGTACATACAAACGAACAAATTGAACTTAAACTAACTCACTGACTATCTGACCAGCCAACCAACTGGCTAACTAGGTAACTAGATGATTGACCAATCACTAGCCAGCTAGCCAGCCAGCTAGCTGGTTAGCCAGCAAACTAGCTATATAACTAATTCACTGACTAACTAACTAACTAGCTCGATAAATAGAAGGCAGCCACAGATGCACGGCCACGCACACATGCACTTCTTTGTCGATTTGCATGCAGCTGTGCATGCATGTCCATAGGCCTTTGCATCTGCATGTGCTAGAGTCTGCGGTTAGAGCTATCCAAAAATTTATTCAGGCATCGTGACATGTAGGAAATCGGCTTCAGGAGATGGCATGCACTTGTAGTGAACTGGCAAAAATCTTTCGTTCCTCAGCACTTCGCCTGAAATCTGCAGTTCGGGGACTGAAATCGTCCGGGAAGCATAGCATCCTCGACCTCGAAGCTTCCCAGAAGACCCGATCTCAACCTACAAGTCATAACACCTACATATATATATATAAGCAGATGTGAGCTCAGAGCCGCAGGGTTCATAGGTAGGATAGGCCACGAAGTAAACTAATATAGGGGCTGGCATACATAGATCCCCAATACCCGGCCGCTAAACTTTGGGTTCTTGTAGTTTAGTAGGAATCGGAAAGTTTAACCTTTGATTTCCGTGGCTCATTGGGGTAGTAAGACTAGTGAATAGTGCCCAATACTATTGCCAGCTTTGGGGCTCAAAGGTTTGGGGCACGGAGCCTCAATGCCTCTCTGCAACGTCAAAATCCGAAGCTTTCGTCAACGATCAGTTATGTATTCTACGGTGTGTAGTACAGAATTTTACCAGAAGAATACAGTAGAGTAACATACCATTATGCATCATAGACCAGATGTTAAAGCACACCCGCTGCCAAGGCAACCGTGGAACGCCGCTCCACTTCGCTGCAGATGGTTTGCAAGAAGAGGTTTGTGTTGTTTCGCCCAAATGGGGTTGCGAATTGGAGGAGGCAGTTTTGCGGCTTTGTTATTTGGTATGCAAGGGGCGGATGCTGCAGCCTTAGATGTTCGAAACACGCCAAGCAAGGCTTTTGCATGCATGGAGTGCAAGCAAGCACAGAGACATCGAGACAACATACTCTGTACATGGACAGCTGAAAGGACAACTGTCTGTGAAGAGCTCTCAGGCTTGTCCCAGATCCGAAGAGACTGTTCGTTTTAGAGCTCCCGGGGCTTTGTGCTTCGCCGGTGTGACAGCACATCGGCTGGGACAGTCTAGGAGAATTCCCAAGAGATCTCTCTCAAATGAGGGACTAGAGATCACCCTAAGCCCTACCTTAACCCGGAAGAACCTACCTCTTGAGGACTTATACAAGGAAATCATAATAAGGAACCCTAAAAAGGTAGGAAACCCCACAATGTTCGGAGCCCAGTCATAACTGGGTTCAACTCGACTTTGTTAGGGCTGTGGGGCTGTGAGGTGTCAAAGACTACGTCTGATCATTCGGTGGCGTGCTGGTTTTTTCTCATTGCTTAGGGTTTAGGGTCTAGGGATTAAGATACAGGGTGGACGTTTTGCAGTCTGGGGGTATGGTCTGATCAGAACTGAGAACAAGCAAGTGAAGTATCTTGCATGCTAGCCCCGCCATTCTCATCAATGCGGCTCCAAGCCTTCAATGCCAAGGAGCTGTTTCCAAGTAGCTTCGCTATTCCTTTGTTTTACCCTGAACGGTCCGGTAGTTACACTAATGTAGGAACCTGATTAAGAAACCCTGGGCATATAACCCCGAAATAGTAGGATGCATATAAGGAGCCCTAATAAAGGCCCAAGGTTTCTTAATCAGGCTCCTACACTACATCCTTGTTGCTCAGGGAGTACTACAGGGGCCCAAATTAATTACCAATACTATTTTGGCGGTTCCTTATTGTAGCTGTGGTATACTGCGCCAAGACGAAAGTTCGTCGCATCAGGTAGGTCTGCTAACGCATACTTGCAAAACCCTTTCCCCCATAGACTCGTTCACGAAGTTGCGATGTCAGGCAAGGACGTCACTAATTCTTTCGTCGGAAAAAACAGTGTATGTTCATTTTGGCATGGATATTCCTCCGCTAGCCAGGCCACGTAAAATGCACTTCTTCGTACTCCGAGTCCTCCGCCAAGCAAAGACATCTTAGCGACAAAACTTTCATCCTGCTGATGTACTGGACCCCAAAAACGGTTCCTACATTACGGCTTTCGACTGTCGTCTGGAAAGCTTCAGGCCCTGAACGGGTCGCTCGAGATTGCCAAGCTGCTTATAGAATACAAGGCTGCCGGATCAAACCCTAAACCCTAAACCCTATCGAGTGGTGTGTTTGGCGAGAGGTCGGGTGGTAGGCTAACGAGTGTAAACCCTTGCCTTAGCCGTATAATCGCAGTGTTAAAGCAGTTTTCTGATGATTTGCGAGCAAAATCCGGGGTTGGTTTCTAATCTTATGTTGGGGCCTAGTGTTGCGATTCTGTAGAGTGGCATCCTTCGAACAACCAAGGGGTATATCTTAAATCAGAATGAGAAGGCCCCAAGGTGAAGGAGGGAGTGTCATTTATAAACCCTAAACCCTAAACCCGAAAGCCTAAATCCTAAAGCCTAAAGCCTACATGGATACCAGGGATACCGGACGCATGGGGGCCCCTGAAGCCCCAGGAATCCAGAAACTGCAGTGCTCGGGGTTCGGCTTTGGCAGTTTAGAGTTCAGGACGCAGGGCTCAAACGTAGAATCAAAAAAGCTGGAATATGGGAGTTTCCGAAAATTAGGGGCACCTTATTTGGGGTCCTTATAATCAGGATCATACTATTTAGGGTACTATATTAGGCTCCCCTTTTTTCGGAAACTCCCACATCATTATCTTCGTGGCTTTAAAGTAAAGTATAGGAAATCTCAGCACTACTGATCCTTCATCCATGTTCCAACTCTCTGTGGTTCACTACAGGGAAGCTTTTACGCGAACTGATCCCTCTGGAGAGAAGGACGTCACATGCTAAAGCGTTTCGTGCTATTGAGTATAGAGTGAATTGGGGTCCCTTGCTCTTGACTTGGTCCTAGAATAAAGATCCCACGTGATCTGGCCATTTAGGAGACCCTCAGCCCCAAACCCTAAACATATTGTCCTAGCATGGTTGTAACAAGCACAGATACCTCCACCATCCCGTGCTAATTCCTGGCATGCAAGGGACGGTGCCGTCTTTGCAAATTGATGGCGCTTGCAGATCCCTCATCTCCCCTCTGTTCAGCCATCCGACGCCCTAGATACCTTCCTTGTTTGCACGGTTAAGGATGCGCCCTTGGCCCTGTACCCAAGGCCTGAATGGGCCTGAATAGTCAACAAGTTGGAGAGCTGTGGAAGGTCGGTTCGGTGGCTGACGGGGCTTCGCTAGGTTGAGTCTGCCCGGAATGTGAAGCTTCGTTGGAGATAATGATTTCAGTTCTTACCGACTTATCTACCAACTACCTAACTCCTAAACCCTAAACGCTTATAAACCCTAAACCCTACATCTAGTGCTCCTACTGCATTGCAAAGGCGGACCAGGGTGCTACTTGGAGCGAGCAGCAGCTTGGCTACTATTCTAGGGGCCTAAGCAATTACCAATACCATTTCGGGGGTTCCCCATTATCATTATAGTATAATGGCCACAAAACCCCACTAACATGAAGGCCCCTATATCATAGTACCCTTATAATAGCCCTTGTGGTAGCACTTACAGATCCCTTTAAAGGAACCCTATTCTAATTATTAAGGCCCCTATACTAAGGCTTTCAGGCTGCTTGCTTCTGATGGGAATTCCGGCTGAGTAATACGGAGTTCCGGTTGGGGTTGGGTTTAGGGGTTTAGGGGTTAGGGGGTTAGGGGGGGTTAGGCTTTGAGGGGTTTAGGGGTTTAGGGTTTAGGGGTTTAGGGGTTTCGGCTTTCTCGATTTAGAGTGTAGGTTTTAGGGGTTTAGGGTTATGGGGTTTCACCATAAGAACAACCATAGCACCCATGCAGCAACCATAACCGTACCCATAAAACGCTCCATAGCAGAAGCCATATTCGTAGCCATCATAGTAAGCATAATAGATGGAGAGCGCTCGGACTTCTTCACTTTTCTGGGTCCTTACTACAATAAAACCCAATAAGGATGAGTAACAAGGATCATTGTTTTATAACCCCAGCAGGGAACCAGTTTTGGGATCCCACTCAGCGTGGGCACAGGCGCACAGCTGTTTCAAGCAAGTTGTATTTTGGTAGCCATGCGATCACTCGGCAGGCTAGCTTCTAACCCCGAAGGGCCCTAGGTACTGTTATGGGGGAGACCTCCCCAAATCATAACAGTAGTTCCTTCAGCTGGTTTTGATTTTTGGGGCTAGTGATCTCATCATCAGAACACCATCGAACGCAGGTTGCATGCACATCACATCTTTTGATCTCAGTTCTACTGAATGCAAGGGAGGCACTGTATGCCCCAGCCCCTAGTACATTGTGTATGGCTAGGACTGCTGCGCCTGGTTTGGAGTTCTCGCATGTGCCCACGAAAGGAATTTCACCCCTCTGGCTCTCGCCGAACAACAAGGCAGCCCGGGTTTCGAAGTTTAAGGGTTTAGGGTTTAGGGTTAAGTTTACAAAGCTATTGATTGAAGGACTTCGGGCGCGGATTTATACGGCGTTTGGCTCCATCATAGATGCTTGCGATTGACGGCTCGGGGTGTACACGTTGCCTCGTTTTCCAGGTAGAGCTGTTGTTGGAGGCGAGTGTCATCAGCTCAATTTCCTGTGCTTGCGGTGTAGTCCTTGGGCCAGTGGCCTCTCTCTTTCTCCCTTTCTCTCACTCGCTCTCGCTCTCGCTGTCTCTCGCTGTCTCCTGTTGTGCCCAGCTGGAAAACTGGCAGAAGAGCGAAGAAGACACGACGTTGACGATGGAGAGAGTGATGATGTGAGAGCGTGCTCTCACTCCCTCGTGCGCCAACCAGCCACCCATGCACCAACTCACATAGAGACGCAGACATAGACAAAGACATAAACACAGACGCAAAGACAAAGAGACAGCGAGACAGCCAAACATACTCTCTCTCTCTCTCACACACAAATATACCATCAACCGCCTTGGCAGGTCAGGAGGCTGTGGTGGCACTGTTGAAATCCGTGGCTGCAGGCGATGCTGAGATCTGCTGTCAGGTTTTAGTGTTGTTCTTGCGAGTTTGTGTTTCAGCAGGTTTATCCAGGTATATACGATCAATCTGGTGTAGGTCTTATATGGCGGGTATTCACTTAGCGAAGGACTCGCAATTAGATCCTCGGGCGAGGACTCGTCGACATGTGAGCGCGTCGAGACACTGGCTAGGCAGCAGTACCGAATAGGTTTCCCAAAGTTTCTTGGGGCGGAGCTGTATAAACCCAGAACCCTAAGCCCCCAAAACGTAGACCTTAAACCCCAGTCGCGCATCCGAATCCTGAATCGGAGTACCGTGCCTCACCAGCTCCTTATCTTCGGATGGCCCTTTGATCCAGGTAAGGGTTTAGGGCGTAGGGCTTAGGGTGTTAAGGGTGTCCAGTGTTGGTTGTGTGTGTGGTTATGTATATATGGATGTGCTGTTTGTATGTATATTGTATGTGTGTGTATCTAGGCACAAAAAGAAATCACACACATATATATATATATATATATATATATATATGTATTTGTCCCCCGGGTCTAGCAGCTATTATTCGGGTCAGGGACTATTAGGGTGGGTGTGGACCCCGGGGGCGGTACTAAGGGACAAGGTCCCGATGAGCACCCCCCACCCTCCCTGTTTCTCGCCTGCTAGGGCGACAGTACCCTTTTCGTCTCTCCCCGACCATTCAGGGCGCCGCCATTCATACGTGCGTCGCTAGGTTGCAGCGGCGAGGCTCCCTGATCCAGCATCTCCGTGCAGCTGGAACAACCATTGCCGCGTATTGGAGTATTCCAGGTCGCAGCAGTGGGGCTCCCTGGTCCAGTAGCTGACAACTCTCTTGCAGTGAGCGACAAAATCCAGGTTGCAGCGGTGGGGCTCCCTGGTCCAGAATGTCACCTTCCAGCTGGAAACTCTTTTACAATTATCGACACAATCCAGGTTGCAGCGGTGGGGCTCCCTGGTCCGGCACAGCGCGATTCCTGCCGAGCATAACCCTCACATATTCCGGGTCGCCGTGGACGTCACCACGCATTGGCGTAATCCAGGTTGTAGCGGTGGGGCTCCCTGATCCAGTATCATCTCATTGCCGCCGCAACGCCTCCTACCATCCACTGGTGTATTCCAGGTTGCAGCGGTGGGGCTCCCTGGTCCGGCACCACGGTTTCCCTTGTATTGGCCCGACGAGCTCCAGGTTGCAACGCTGGCGATCCCTGGTCCAGGCCCTTAGCTCTCCTGAACTTTCCCAGAATCACACACGAGCATGCACCTGCATTGCGTGCTCCCACACTGACACTCATTGCGCACCGCACTATCCCCTAGTGTTTAGGTTTCTGCACTGTTGCCAGAACGCCTACGACTGGAGCACATCACGTGTAGCTTTTTGTACCCTCTCGTGAGTTAGCACTCCGCTCGTGTAGGCTTTGTTTCGACGGTCATTTGGAGCTTTGAACCGTTGCGGGTCTGCATCGTCCATTGATGACACCTGCGCTCAAGGAAATGGCATTCCCTGGCCTCGAGAGTGCATGTGACAGAAGTCTGGGCGATGCCAAAACGCTGCCTAGTATGTACCCCTGCTTGCTTCTGCCGTTGCTTTGCCTGCATGGTGCCATGACGTTTTCGGAGCACCGTGCCCCACTTGCGTCTTAGCCCTCGCGGGTGGAGACAACGTGGGTGCCCGTCCCCTTGCCAGGGGTCGACTTCTCTCTCTCTCTCTCTCTCTCTCTCTCTATATATATATATATATATTATATATGTATTTGTACAGCTTTATATATCTATATAGACATCTCCCTCTCTCTTTTTGCTTTATGTATCTGTGTATATATGATGCAGGGCTGCCACCCCCCCTCCCCCGGAATTCCGAAGGGCTTCAAGGTAGAACAGTGGGTGTAAGGTTTAGGGTTTAGGGTTGTTAGGGCCTGACCCCAGAAAATTTTCCCAAGAGTTTTTTCCAAGCCAGAAAATACTAGAAGCCACGTTCTCCCTGTCTTGAGAAGCCATGAACTGATCCTGAAAAGGGTTCCCAAGGCAGGCGGAAAAGCCAGAGTGATAACGGCCCGCACCAACTTTTCAACTATGCCCGCAATTGTGCGACGGGGCCTCTGGAAAGAAACTTCGATGGTTTAGGGTTTAGGGTCCTGAAGTGCGACATAAATTACAAGGTCCGGAGACCAGCGAGTGTGGATCTGACCAGCTGTCGGAGATTCACGTGTGGGTATCTCCACAAAGACAGAGAGAGAGAGAGAGAGCGAGCTCCAACCATTGTAGTAGTTAACCGTTAACGCTTTGGGGTTTGTCAGTCAAATCCTACCATAGTTGGAAAGGTTAACCTGTTTTGGCCTAGGGTACTCAGCCCCTAAGCCTCTGTATCTAACACCGATCAGATCTAGCACTTTGTAAAACAAGCGATCGATAGTCCCTAAACCGTATAAATCGCAGGTCCGAAGGCCGGTAGCCGACATGCCAAACCCTGAAACACTCCTAAGGGTAAGTAGCGTAGATAACATCTCCGGAACCGTGAATTGTAAACCCTAAACACTCAGCCCAGAGCCTTTCAATAGATTTTAACTTAACAATTGTTATTATTATTATTCAAAACTAAAGCCCAGATTAAACCCTGAACCATCCTAAACCGTAAACTCTAGACTCTAGACCCAAACCCAAATCCTGGACCCTAAACCCAAAATGCCCTGACCCACAAGGCCAGGCGAGCGGCTGAGCTTTTTTGAGGGCATTCCATCGAAGATGGCTCCGCGTTGGATTCGAAACCCCACCATAAACGGGTTAGGATTACTGGGTTGGGGTTTAGGGTTTAGGGTCCATTAGAGGCCTTAATCATTAGGAAAAGGTTCCGGGACAGGTTCCTTATTACAGGATTGCAGGGCATTCGTAATATGGTGCGGAAACCTAGGGAATGATTTTGGAAATAGTCAGGCCAAAAATACAAAATGCGAAGACCACATGTGGTCCCTAATACTGATGCAACAGGATCTCAAACATGAGCCCCAAACCCTGAACCCTAAACCCCAAACCCTCAAGCCTCAACCGCCGTAGAACCGCATGGAATTCGGACAGCCAGGGTGTAGATTCCCGCCTTGCGAAGGGGACGTTGCATTCGTCTTGTAGCTTTCGGTCGTTTTGGGATGTAGCTCCTGTCTGTCTGGTGCTTAGACTCCATAGTCTGTTTAGGGTTTAGGGTTGTAGTTCATGTCCCAATTTCCGTATACTGAGAAGCAAACGGCTTGTGCCAGAAGGCAGTGTTTTGGATGTCAGTGTTTTGGACGTCAGCCTTACAGGATTTTAAGGGTTTAAGGGCTTAAGGTGTTCAGGGGTTTAGGGGTTTAGGTGCTTAGGGGTTTAGGGATTTAGGGTTTGTTTAGGGGGTTTGGGGGTTTAGGTGCTTAGGGGTTTAGGGTTAGGTTAGGGTTTCGGGATTTCTGGGCTTAAGGGTTCAGGTTTCAGGGTTTCGGGGTTTAGGGGTTTAGGGTGAAGCCTCCCCAAGCCATAGATTGGAGCACCGTCATCGACCCCAACTCCAAGCAGTAGTCTCAAGAGATGAGCCAGGAACGAGCAGAGGAGAGGCCTAGGTTTTTGTTACGCCTCAAGCTCAAGTTCTTGGAGTTTTTCGAGAGTTATGTGGTTAGTGGTCAAAAAGCCGGTCCCGTTTGAGGAGATACTTGCCTTTGTTGACCTGGATAGTCTGAGGTCCCGCAGACATGGAAGGGGTGCTGCAGGTACTGGCACTGGCCGTGGCCGTAATAAGTACCTTCACGTAGGGATTTCATTGCCAGGCTCTGAACCTCCAGCAAAGACACACCTTCGGCCCCTATAGCCATGCCCCAACCTTTCATCCCTCGACCTGTAAAACCTTAAAACCGAAATCACACATCCCTAAACCCACAAACCCCAGACACGTCCCAAACGGTCCCAAACCCTAAATCCGGGAGCACCATACTCCGCATCCTGCCAACAAATAAGATGATAAAAAACAGCAAAATTTTTCTTGAAAGCAAAAAGCACGGGAACCGAGTTGCAGCGACCAGCTACGTCTCACCGCCTCGACCGGCTAAGTCCTGGAGTTTCTTGTAGTCAGTCGTCGTTGAAGGCTATAGTTAAGCGTGCAGTGCTTTGCATGTAGATCTTCGGATTTAAGGCTTTGGGTGTAGGCCTGGGGTACTGCCCCCACCCAGTAGCAGTTGGATAATCTTCATAATATGGATATATTAGGCTCTTAATAGTAGCCCTATTACAGACTGTCACTGTATGGGGGCAGTACCCAATCTAGGGCCCAGGTTGGGGAAGCCTTTTGGTGGTCTCGGGTGGTGTTCTGATGGTCCTGCAGGGTCTCTCCATCGTCATGATTCATGATATGGGAGTTTCCGAAAATTAGGGGTACCGTAGTTTGGGGTCCTTATATTAAGGATCCTTACCATTAAGGGTACTATATTAGGGTCCCCCATTGTCGGAAACGCCCATATCCTTCCTGGTCGTCGTGGCCGTTGTGGGCTCCTGATGGTTGTGGTGATGGAGGGCGCTTGTCTGCAATCACATTTCTGAAGACCCCTGTGCTAGTATAGGGTAGGGGCAATAAAAATTACCTATACCAGTGTTTGTTTGAGGAGGGGGGTCCTTATTGTATTTCTAGTAAAATGGGCCCCAAAACCCTATTCTAATCATATTGAGGCCCCTACATTACGCAAAGTGCTGAGATTCTTCATGGCTTCACTTTGGACCGCTGTCGTGGTTCATGTAGGGGCCTGACTGAAACAGGGCTTTGGGGTGTACCAGTGATACCAAAAATGAGAAGAAGGAGCCCTAAGGACAACTATTGTAATAGTTCGGGTTGAGGGTCTAAGGTCTATAGGGTTTAGGGTTCAAGGCGTCTTCTTGCGAAGTGGCTGGAAATCCATGCTAGGATGGCGCCACCTCACGCCAGGCCTTGTGGGTGGCGGCATATTATGCGTGAAGCGACCTCCCTTGCATGCGTCATAGAACTCGGAAACCGGAAGTTCTCTTAAACCCACCCGCTGTGATGATACCCGGCAGGCAACGACCTCATCAGGGTTTAGGGTTCAGGGTTTTGCCGCCTATATTGCTTCTGAAGCTTTGCTGCTCCCGGCATTGAAGGCGATGCCGGCATTAGGCCCAGGGTGGTTCAAGTGCGAAGCATAGTGGATGTAGGGTTTGGGGTTGCGGGTTTAGGGCTTAGGGCTGTAGGGTTTGGGGTTGCGGGATGTAGGGTTTAGCGCTCAACCCTTCAGTGTTTGGAGATTGGCTACAAGCCCGCACACAAAGCTTCTTCGGCAGAGCCTGCTGCCGCAAGGATATTTAAGTGCACCTGGGATTCTTAGGGTCCTAGGGCGTAGACCCTAAACCCCTGAGCCCCGAGCCCTAAACCGCCTAGGTCGAGCGTTACTGGGAGATGGTTCGGAGTAGGACTTGACCCTTCATCCCTCGTTTAGGGATTAGGGATTCGGGTCCTTCAGGGTACAAGAAGGGCCTGGAGTGTTTGACTGAAGAGGACAAGGAGTCGCAGGTGCATTTCACTGATGTGATCAGACATCCTCTCCGCAAATGCGGAGGGGCTCGACGCTGAAATAGACACCCGGCAAAAGCATCCCAAACTCACGGACATTTGTGGGGAAGTCCTTCCTCCTCACAACAACAACCCGCCACCCTCATCGTACTTCTTTGAAGCCTTAAGCCTGAATAAGTAAGAGCAGGGCCCACATAAATTCAGGGAAACACAGTCCAACATCCTGTTCCAATGATTCAAGCCCCTGTGTTAATATAGGGGCATGAATAATTACCAATACTATTTTGGGGGTTCCTTCTAATAGTTATAGTATAACCCAAAACCCTATTCTGATTATTAATGCCCCTACATCATAGTACGACCCTTATTGTAGCACCTATAGATCCTTTTAAAGGAACCTTAGATTAGGGGTCCTGTCTGTCGGCTCGAGGGTCTCTGGCTTCCACAAAGGGCTGTGCTGCGGCGACTCTTGCTCTTGGTTTGAGGGTTTTGTAGGGTAGGGTTAGGGCTTGAGGGTGTGTGGGAGTTTGGGGCGTTGGGTTTAATCTAATTAATCTAAGTAATGTTGCATACCTTCGATAGGTCCTCCTTTCCACACAGAGAGGCATGCTCGACTCCCCATTTGCTGAATCCCTGCGATACATAAACCCTATTGAGGGTTTAGGGCTTTAGGGTGTAGGGTAGTCAGCCATGGCCCCAGACCAAGCTGCTGTCCGATAACTGAACAGCCTTCATATAAGCGCTCTTCACCCGATTCGCGCAGATCCCCTGGTTGCTCAGCCAGCTCTCGCAGCGCCTTGTCTACGGATGTTTGGGGTCCAGGATTTGTTTATTCGGAGTCTTTTGATAATGCGCAATGAGGCCAGTGGTCTTTCAGAATCGTCTTGGAGTCGAGGCTGTCAAGAGATTTGGGCTTAGGAACGGTGGATTTTGGGTGATGGAATCTCACTTTGGAGCGTTTGGGCCTGTCTGCCCCCAACCCGGAACCCCAACCCCTAAACCCCGAACCCCCAAACCCTGAACCCCGAACCCTAAGCCTAGACCCTAAGCTCTAAACCGTCAAGTTTGGCAGAGGCCCCAACCACAGGCTCAGCCTGGTAAGGCATTCCTGCTAGCCAGTTGGAAAAGAGCCCTCAAAAAAAAACGTCCGAAGCCATGGAGCCCGGAACTTGCCTCCTCCCCTCTCGCCTTAGCTCGCCACAGATTCAAGTTTCCCTCGGAGCTCGTCCTCTCGAGCTGAGAGGGTTAGGCTTGGGGATTTGGGGTTTAGCGGTTCAGGCTGTCGGGTAGAGGGGTTTCAGGTTTTTTTTTTTAAACTGCTGCTATTGTTAAGGGTTCCTTAATCTACAATATAACCCAAAACATACCACACAACCCACTTCTAGTCATTACGGCCGCTAGGGAGGCCTGTCATCATGCTTTAGCAGCCGAGCCCTGGCGGTCCGCTCCAAACTCCGAAACCCGACTGTTGGGGCCTTAATAATTAGAATAGTGTTTCGATGTGCATTATACTATAAGCATAATAAGGAGCCCTCCAAAACCCTATCCTACAATACTGGCGTAGGCCCAGTGGATCCCAAACCGTCCTAATCTGCGGGCCTGAATGATTACCAATACTATTTCCAGGGATCCTCATTATAAGTAGAGTATAATAGTATAATTGGGCCCCGAAACTCTGTTCTAATCTTTAAGGCCCCTAAAGTCTATCGGGGAGAGCTGGGCCGGCTAGGCTTTCATTGTCCTATAGTAGAGAACGAGCACGTGGTTACCACCGGAGCCCGCAGCCCGAAAGTCCAAGCCCTAGACGTTAAATTTTGCATAAGCCTTAAACCCCAAACTCGAAATCCTACACCCTAGACCCTAAATCTTAAACCCGAAATCCTAAACCCTGAGCCCTAAACCTTAGACCCTAAGCCTTGGAGCCCAGAGCAAAGCCCCGGAACACCAGAAGACTTCCACAGCCACCAGGGCGGGACGGCTCACGGAGGATGCCGGGGACCCGAAGAGACAGGGATTTTGGGTTTTGGGGGTTAGTGACTGGGTTTTGGGGTTTAGCATACTATATAGTTATAAAAAGGGAACCCCCCAAACCCTATTCTAATTATTAAGGCCCCCACACTAGTGATTAGGGTTTAGGGATGATGGCTTACGGGTGTTGAGGTTTAGGGCGTAGGGATGAGTGT